GTTTGCCACATCAGCACTTAACGGACTTCATTAACAGAGTTGGACGGAGAGTGACTAAATGTGACATGTTTCAGTAATTCGAGTGACTAAATTTGATATTAATTTTTTCTAGTGACTACACATGTCCCGATTTAGTAATCTCAGTGACCAAATGTGTCTTTAACCCTTATTCCTTACTAGCTTATAACCCGGCCTGTTGGCCGGAATGTTCATATTTGATTATTTGTATTTTTATGTTACATTTAAGTGTATCAACCCGTTTAATTTTATTGACAATTATTCGGTTGAGATGATACATAAAGAAAGAATATATAGTTCGAACTTTCGGAGAAATAAAAATATAGAATATAAAATTGTATCATTGATCTCATTTTTATAATGATAATTAAGCCCCAATTAAAATGCTATTGGTTAGTTTATTGTCAAGAAAGATAAAGTACAAAAGCTCACTGTAATTCCCACACGCCATAGATAGTTTGAAACACAATCATAAACCTCACAATCGTTCATAAAGAGTTCAGTGCTCTCCTTTTAGCAACAATATGCCACTAATCAAAAAGAAATGGAGAGTTGTTGATTCAAGTCAACTATATACTAACAACTCAGTTAAGAGGGGACCAATAAAACTTGAGAGCAAACGACAAAATTAGGGTTACCTCCAATATGCTAATAGACTCGATCGAAGTAATAAGGCACAAAATTAGACACTCCTTATCTATCAGTTCCAGTAGGTTGAATAAAGAATCGACCTAGTCACCACTCTCTGTTGTACAACCAAATTTTTATCTCAAGAGGCATATGTTTCAATAAAAAATTCAATCTCTAATCCTCCTTCTACAACTCCATTTATTGAACTTCATTCTATTTGTCATGGATTGATATCGAAGTTGAAATCTTCTACTTGCCTAACTTAAATCCCCAATAATAAAATCGTAGTGCCAAGAGATACCAAAAGATTGATTTCAAAGGCGGCCTTGTATTGGAAAGTGAAAGAGGCGCAAACTATTGCACGATGGAGGGAATTTCGGAAGAAGTTAAAAGAGATAAGAACAAAGATAAAAAGTACTGAATTTAAATTTAAATTAAAAATTTCAAGGACACAACACGCAATAACATAATTAGTTTCTTCTATGGTATCCAATTACCAATCTACCTTTAGCAAAAAAATTAAGGCGAGAGCAAAAAATCTAAAATTAAGAAAATTACATGAAACTCTACTATGAAAACTGAAGTATCAAGCACCATAAAAAATACATACGGTAGACTTAGCCTATGTTTAGCCAGGCTTTTAGAAGTGTTTTTCGGGTTCAAAAGTTGAAGCAGGGCCAAACACCTCTAAAAGTTCGGCTTTTGAAAAGCCAAAAAGTGCTTTTGTATAACATAAAAGCAGAAGCTCCGATTTGGAGCTTCTGCAAAAAGCTGTTTTGAAAATACAAGATTATCCTTACCATATTTTAATTTTCTTTCATTTATATCATTTTAAAAATAAAATAAATTATAAAATCATATTATTTAATATAAAATAAGTCTAATAAGATCCATTTTGACTACATTTTATTGTTTAGAATTATTATAGTAATTTTAGACAACCTTTCATATTAAAAAGCACTTCTAATAGTTTTTCAGCCAAACACTCAACTGCTTTTTTTTTTAAAAGTACTTCTCTAAAAGCTCAAGCCAGAAGTTGCTTCTGCAAAAGCTACAGCAGGGCTAAACTGTGCCTTAGTGGGCTTGGTAATCATGATGGCAAATTCATCCAATTTTCAGAGTTTAACTTTGTGTATGTTTTGTACTCGAAAAGGTATAGTAAATTTGTTTAGTGTAATTGGTTGTGATTGTTGTCTTTGTTTTAAGAGACCTGAGTTCGAATCCTCATATTGATATATTTTATATGAGATATATAATTAATTGTAAAGACAAAAATGTCCTTGATACTTTCACTCTCGTTGCAGGAAATTTGAAATTGAGAAAAGTTTACAAAACTCTACTATATATTATCTGAATCGCTATTCGTCGTCCTAAACTATACCAAACTGACAATTTTATCCCTAGTAACGAAAATAGAATCCCCACTGCCAACCCGAGCCGCGGTGGCCGCCGCCCGCCTCCCTTTCTTACGTTCTGAAAAATACCTAATGGATTTGTTGCTGTTGACCGGCGCCTCTCTTAAGGAGGGAGAAGAAATCAGTCCAAGCCTCATCACCTCTCTTAATGTACAATACTAAATGAGTTAGAATGGTATGTCGACTTCAATATTTGGATTTGAATCATCACCATCGCATTGTTATAGGGTATTTGTTAGCGATCGAACTGATGAATATAGCGGATCTAGGGTGTATGAGATTGAGTTGTTTGAGAATAGGTTATGGAATTTGACAGACGAATGAGCGTCGGCAGGGGAGATGGGCAAGGCAAAGGTGGCCGGCGGAAGAGTATGTGGAGGTCGTCGGCTCGAAGCAAAATGTTCTGCGGTTGCTTCTTCCTCTTCTTCCTTCGCAGAATGCCCGGTCGCCGGTTGAGGCTTGGACGGATTTCTTCAGAGAGGCGGTGAGTTAGAATGCCTAGTCGCCGGTTGCTTCTTCCTCCGCAGACGTCGGCGACGACAGAGGAGTTGGGAGGTGCTTTTGTCAGAGGTTGGACTGAGAACGGACGAGGGTAATTGGTAAATTGAAAGTTAAGGATAAATGTGTAATTTTGTATGTTTTAGGGCGATACATTCAAATTTTTAGGGCGACGAATAGCAATGCCCATTATTATTGGAGGATTTTGTTTTTTGAGTAGTTATCATAAATGGTCACAAAAGTATTTACTTTGTACAAAACGGTAACAAACCTTTAATTTTGCACGTTTCAGTAACATATGTTTGGATTAATAACAAAAATGTAATTTCGTCTATCTCCATCTAAAATTATGTTAGTTTGGTCCAGTCAGCTATCCCGTCAGCATCCACATCATCAAAATAAAAAATAAAATAAAAACAAATTATACCCTAACCAACCCACCACCCCTAGGCTAACCCACGCCATTTCTCTCTATCACTCAGATTGGTCCAATACCATTCATTCTCCTCCTCATTTTATCTTCCTCTGCTCATCCTTAATACCTCCAATCGGCCGCATCACTACAAAATTGAAACCCTCTGTAAACTCCGAGTGTTAGAGAGAGAGAAATCAAATGAGAGTGGTGCTAATTGACGACGCGACGGTCTGTAACTTCACGGAGGACGCGACCCACTTCAACAGGAGCGTGGAGGACGAGGTGCTGTCCCACTCGGAGCTCCGTCGGGCGTTCGAGACCCTCCGCCTGGTGGAGAAGGACTTCGGCGTCGACACACCCACCCACCCCGAGGAGCTCACCAAGCTCTACGACTCCATCTTCGACAAGTTTGACGGTGACGGCAATGGGAATGTGCAGGGGCGGACCTAGGGGGACACCCCTAAATTTCGGGAAAATGATTATCCAATCTCGGTGGTAATTTACGTATAGACACAAAAAAAAAATTGACAGTGAGGGATACCCCTGAAATTTGAAAAAATGATTATCCTACTGTCATTTGTGTATAAAAATATAAATGGTAGTTTGGATAATTCAAATCTAGAACACTATTATTATTAATAAACTTAATTTCCGTTGAGCTACAACTCATTTGTTGTTCGATTTTGAACCATGTGTAATAGTAAAAAGTCATTCCCTATCTCTAATTATTTCAATCTAAACTAATTTCAATCTACCCTTAATTTGTATTGATTTTATGATCGTACGGCAAGTGTTGAAGAGTCTTTCAGCTTTGGGTTACATCAAGAACAAGTTTACAAATCGAATATGCGATAAGTTCCTGAATGATTGTCTAGTAGGGTATATAGAGACTTTTATTAACACTATAAACACCAAGTGTATTCTACAACGAAAATATGAAAACACATCATGGACTTTTTTAATCTGTACGAGTAAGGTATTTTCATATTTACGATTTTATTTTTATTATTTTTATTTAATTTTTTTAAAAGAGAACACCTCTATGGAACATTTATGGGTCCGCCACTGGGAATGTGGACCTGGAGGAGTATCAGGCGGAGGTGAGGACGATCCTGCTGGCGATCGCGGACAGGCTGGGATCCAACCCGATCCAGATGGCTCTGTAGGACAATGACTAGAGCTTTCTCAGGAAAGCCGCCGAGCTCGAAGCTTCCAAACTCGCCGCCACCGCTGCTGCTAGTTCCTAATTCCAAACTTGAAGCCTCTAAACGCATATGGGCGGTGTGGAGATGGTGAGGAGAGGGAGAGGAGATAGAGAAGAATGGGTTGGATTGGGGTGGTGGTCGGGTGGGTTGTTGGGGTTTAATTGATTTTTAATTTAGTTTTATTAATTGTTTTGATGATGTGGATGCTGATTGGACGCCTGATTGGAACAAACATAATTTTGGATGGAGATAGACGGAATTACCTTTTTGTTATTCCAAACATATGTTACTGAAACATGCAAAATTAAAGGTTTGTAACCGTTTTGTACAAAGTGAATATTTTTTGAACATTTATGATAACTACCCTTTATTTTTTATTTATAATTGAGGGTATTTTAGTTATTTCAGCAGGACAGTCGACAGTTTGTCCATAGTTAACAGAGTTTGGACGAAAAAAATAACATAAAACGAAAAAAATAACATAAAGGTAAATTTGATAACATGATATAGTTGGTGGGCAAATATGATATGAAAAATAGTAGAGAGACATATTTGAGAAAATGTAATAGTAGAGGGAGATTTATGCTATTAAATTTTTTTTTTTTTTTTTTTTGCCATAGAGGCTTGATGACGTTAAATAATTTTCTTTTATGTCCCACACCCGAAGACACCAAAGTCTAGTTTTGAGTTTTAACAGGCTCCAAGCACAGCCCAACTGTAGGTTCAGGCCTCATGTCCGCAGCAATGGACCAATTATCTACGTAAACAAAACCCAATAGTAAAGCATCAAGCAACAGAACAGCAGCAGCAGGAGAAGGAACACAAATTTACATAAATCTTACTACCCATCTTCTGAAACCAAAATCATAGAACTATAGTACGACAGGAGAATGAAGAAGGTTTCACAGAGTACTCAACTCAATAACTCATCACTAAATTTTTCCTTCTACTCTTTTTCCATTTTTTCTTCTTTTTTCTTGTTTTCGATACACTAGGCCAATAAAATATGCCACCTTACAAACTCCAGTCTCTCAACCTCAGTTTTTTCTTTACTCTTACAATTTTTTTCCTTCTTTCTCTCTCTTGGGATTTGGGGTGGGGAAGGGCCTCACACCTGCCATTGTTATAAACTCATCATCCCCTAGCCATAAACTCATCATCACCAGCATTCATATTAGTCAGTGCCCTCCCTGAGAATATATGCCATTTCAGACAACGAAAAAATCCCAAACCAAAAGCCAATATGAGAGGAGGCAGAGCAGACAGAAGAGAAGAGTTCAGCAGCAAAGTCCCAAAGCAAGCAAGCTTCATTCATTTTCCCTGATCCTTCACGAATGATTCTCTTGAGCATGCCTCCTGTGATCCCCGTACCCACCACCCCTGCCCACCTTGTGCCCTTCTTCCACAGAATCATGGCTATAATTGTTGTTGCTGGGCAAATAATCGTGTCGCTTCTTCCCCTCTGACTGCTGTCTGTCCGGGCTACCCCCAGCTTTCCTTTTTCGGCTGTTCAACACAACCAAAGCATCATCTTCCAACATTTCCCCTTCCTCAGCAGCATTCTCCACGTCCAACCCTCTAGAAGATCTTCCTTCCTCATGGTTCTCCCCATCGTCAATTTCTCCATGATCCTTTGCAGCACTTTCCATCTTGGACCAGTAGTTCTGCCGCCTCTCCCGCTTGCTTTTCTCATCCTCAGCTGCCAATTCTATTCCATCTTCCAGTTCCTTCTCAATAAGATCATCCTCATCCAATACATCTTTTTTCCTGGTCAATTCTCCACGAGCTTTCTTCCTTTTCTCAAGTGCAGCCTTTACCTTGTTCCTATCAATCATCTTCATGGCATCTTTAGGGGATTGACCGACTGAGCCTTCTCTAGCAGCATCCAAGTTTCGCCCTGCCATACCACTACTAGACTTCCGTGGCGTATCATCTTTCCCCTCTCCTGCTGCCTCCGCACCTTCGCCGCTCCTTTCCTCAGTTCTTTCTTGTTCTTTTCCATTTATTCGCTCTGCCCCAGACCTGGATTTGCTTGGAACTTCTCTCGTGTTTTCCTTGAGGGACAAATTAGCATTATTATCTGGATGCTGTTGAAGAACATCCTTGTTTTCCAAGTCTGCCTTGTGATCTTTAATAACGCTATCCCCCTCTGCATTGCCATTATCATTGTTACTCTGATTCTGCGTTGTTCTTGGTGCCACCCTGTGGTTTTCTGCATATGAGTTTTCAGCCGCCGAACGAGATGATGCTTGCTTTGAAGCATGCTCCTCGTTCAAAGTGGGGGTTTTGGATGGGCCAGAATGAGCTTGGCCCCCTCCAGCTTCCACTTCACTCCCCTGTGACATAGGCACTCTGTTTTGCTCATATAGTTCAAGCATCTGATTGCTGACCTCTGCAAGAGGAAAAATAATAGAACACTCAGCCACAATAGGGAATCAACGTGGTTAAAATGGCAAACTGACTTAAAATGAGACAGTCAATGCAATAAAGAACAAGCATCGACTACAGGGTTAAGCATTCCATTCAATTATTGCAGATCACTCACTCAGGTCATAGCAAGCATTCTAGAATCAGATTCTCGACAAAGAAAAGGCTAGAAGATAGCATCACGGCAGTATTGCAGCCTTAATCCTATGCCGGGACAGTCTGACTTAAGTCCACATATGAACTTCACAATAAAATCAAGGAGGAACACCAACCCTCTAATTGGCGTGGGGTGACATCAAATTCCTGCCACCAGACCTTCTCACCGTCTGATGGAAGCTTCACTTTGAGGAACTTGGCAGCAAGGAAAATGGCACCTGCTGCAATATGATGTGGCTTAAATTGCAGGCAGAGTGAAGTCCTCAGTCTGCAAGTCGCTTGCCAGAGTGTGTGAAGAGGAGAATGAGAAGAGTAACCATTGCACTGAAAGTCAAATCACAAAGGACAAAATAATCTCGTGCATACCCATCATTAACAAAATTCCAAGCCACTTGAGCAAGTGCATTCTGTGCAACTTGGAATTTCTTAATTGCCTCGACGAGAGGTTTGTAAGGGTGATGGACATTGAAGTCATAACCCAAAGTGCTAAGGACAACCTTCTCCGCAAGTAAAATAAGTTCTTTTTGTTGCTCATATACTTCCTGCACAATTCAAATGGGCCATTTAAGGACCTTTAAAGTTTTTGAAAGAGAAATGTGTAATCAAGCTCTCAAGGAAAATCCAGATGACAAAGGTGACAACCTACAAAGAGTATTCTGTTGACATGAAAAACAGCAATCTGATGATAGATGAATTAGAGGCAAGTTTAAGATTCTGGGAGCAAGATAACTGAAGCCCACTTCCAAGTACTAGGCCAATGTCATTCAACTGTTACCTATGGTATATGCACTAAACTCAAATGGCAGTCTCCTACAGTACAGTACAAGGGTTTTCAGGAGTAAAGATTATTGAAAGCAGAACTGACAGGTTGGTAAATTCTACTTCCAAGGGAGGACGGGAGAACAAAACCAAAAAAAGCTGTCATAAGGACTCAAATAAGTGCCATGAAATAGGAATTGAGAGAGAAAGAGAGGGAGACAGAGAGGGCAAGAAATAGCAGCTTCGATTATACGTGTGCGAAAACAACTTTGAAAGTTAGGGAAGAAAATTAGTAGCACACCTTCTGTTTGATCTTCTGTGCTGCAGTAGTATCTTTTTTATTTATTATCTCGTACGAGACAAGAATTACATCCTTCAGTGGACGAGGAGTCTCCTCAACTTTACCAGCAAGGAACATGCACACAGTTGCTACAGTCTGCAGAGCACATTAAGAGAGTCAGGAATGATGCAGTTGTTTATTTAACACTACCGATGCACTATCAACCTAATGAACATGCATGTGTGGTATGTTAGGCACTGGTAGTTGAGCGAGAGAGATAAAAAGAAGCACACAACCACAAGATGAAAAGGGAAGGAGAACATAATGATTGTTTCACCATGCTGCAAACATTGGATTGTACCCGTTTACAGAAAACACTGATGTGTAGACTATACTTGCATGCACTTGCTGTCAGCCACATACACGTCTGTTCAAATTACCTCATAATGCTTTATGATCAATTTAAGATCAACTAAACATGCCATACTTACATGCAATCCCGGTGAAGAAGAGAGTGAAATCTCTCAGTTTTTTTATCCCACCATTTTCTTGCAAATCCAATTACCCTTAACCCCATACCAGTAGCAATTATCATAAACAACTCTATTGTACTTCTAAAATTAATGAGGGGTCTCACTTTTAAGCAATCACTCCGCAATCACACAGCCAAACAAAAAAAAAAAAAAACATTTGAGCTCTACCTATTATGATAAACGTTTGTGTAATCCATTCATTTAAACCGTCCTACCTCCAAACGGCCCCATAGCCACTCAGAACCTGATCATGATAGATACACCACCACTATAACCGGATACAAAGCAAGGGAGCAACTATGCTAAATAATAGAATTAGTCATATATGCCCCTGCTCACCAACTGCATATTCTTCAAAAATATCCCCAAGTGACAACTCATCACTAGTTTTTATCATAAACGCAGTATTTGATAAAAATCTAGATGATACCACTGCCCATCTATAAACCTCATAAGAGCATGGTAATGAGGATGATGGCTAAGTAAAGCACAACTTACCCGTCTGTCATTCCTCCCATGTGACTGGCGAATGAAAAATCGATGACAGAACACTATTGCTGTGGCTATAGTTATTTGGGGTCTGCAATCAGAACCAAATTCATGTTAGTTTTCATTTAAACTGTTGCGCCTTTACCCACAAAACTATGCATAAGTGCATGTATCAAAAGGAACAAGGAGACAGCTTTGCAGAAAGCCTGAAGTTCTAAATCATTGACTGCGTGTAACAGTTAGCACCAAGATTAAAGATAGAAACCAGATGACGGAGAAAAAGCAAGGCATTTGAATCATAAAAAAAAAAGCAAGACATCCCAACAACTTTAGAGGTGGCCAGAACAGCCTGACAAGCCTTGTTAGCCCACAATTAATTTACAAACCTTACCAAGAAGGGCTTTCTAATTTTCATAAATTGATTTGGGATATGCATACCGCATCTATTAAAAAGGAGAGCATAGCACACAAGAGAGGACACATGCCCTGCACAGCGAACGAGGCGGGAAATGAATGCCCAAATTGCATATGCCTAAAATATTGACATGGACAACTTTTGTTTTTGCAAATATATCAAAATAACAACCGAATGCTTTTACAATAACAAATTTGTCTTTGTCAGAAAAGGGACACAAACACCTCCCGTTATAAATATCCTACTCCTAGGGTTGAATTTATTGTGAAACTATCATCCCATCACTAACACTGCACATCCCAGCACATAAGGAAGACACCCACAGTAACCTATCATCATCATCATCATCATCATGTACTAATGAAAATGTCATTTCTCCAACTGAAAACCACAACTCAGAAGCCCTTAGAAGCTTTTTCCCAAATCAGCACTATCAACATCGTAACAGGCAAAAATCTGTCTACATAACTAGTAACAACGATATGCACAAGGTACCATCCAAGTCGAGACTTAACTCTCATTAATCAAGAATTTCAGGAGGGATCAAACTGAAGGCTTAAACACAAAAGCACTAGAGACCAATATCTAACTGAAAAGATCGATGTTGAGCATTTTGCAAAACAAATTAGCCATAGTGTGCATGCCTCCTAAAGCTTGGATAAATCAGTAACCCTATAAACTGATCGTCTGTACTAACACATATTCTTCTGCTTATGTTATGACTACAATCCCAACTGCAATGATAAATTTTCTTGTTGACGTTAACCTCGAAAACTACCCGTGAGTCATTCTTCAAGTTGCTCAATACTTCACCCACCAGCCATCTTAATTCCCATCTAGTGTAATTCGAGAAGTTCAGGTAAAAATCTGTCTACATAACTCAGACGTAGCAAACCTAGATCGTAACAGGCAAAAAACCTGTCTACATAACTAGTTACAAAGATATGCACAAGTAACCATCCAAGTTGAAACTCTCAGCAATATCAAGAATTTCAGGAGGCATCAAACTGAAGGCTTAAACACAAAAGCACTAGAGATCAATATCTAACTGAAAGAATCAATGTTGAGCATTTTGCAAAACAAATTAGCCATGGTGTGTCATCACGTGCACCTTAGGTTAACACATGCCTCCTAAAGTTTGGATAACTCACTAACCCTATAAACTGATCGTCCGTACTAACACATATTCTTCAGCTTATGTATGAATACAATCCCAACTGCAATGATAAATTTTCTTGTTGCCAGTAACCTTAAAATACTCCACTCACCAGCCATCTTAATTCCCATCCAGTGTAATTCGAGAAGTTCAGGTGACATGAATACAAAGAGAAAGAAATCATCTAATCACCCTACCCAAAGCCATTGCGCATAATAGGGAACAGAAAAGATGCAACGAACATATGAGTAACGTGTCCACTACAATACTAATCCAGTCAAACCTAAATTTCTAACCAATTATCAGCAGCCAAACTAAACCAAAACTAGTTTCCAGAACCCAAAAATCACAGGTAGAACATGATGTTAAAACTCTAAAGGGAGTTTGAATCAATAAGCACAATCCTCCTGAGGTTTACGGGTACCTAGTACATTGCAAAACCTCGGACATTGTACCAAACAACTACATGAATTCAATGGAACATTAAATAGCAGCAGAATGTTATCATTAAGCATGTAAATCGCTCAATAGTGCAAAGGAGTATCAGGGGCTCACACTTTAAGCTTCATGCCAAGATCTTGCAAAAATGTGCAATATGACTTGCGTAAATATGTTTCTTTCTTCAAGTCAATGGCATCTCTCCTTGATGGGGAATTTTCTTCAATCTCCTTCCTTGTAAAATACCAACGAGCTCCGTCCTCTGGCTTTTCCTGAGAGCTTCTTGAAGTCCCGCTCTCAGAACCGCCATGATTTGAAGATTCCCCAGGCAGTAACACCGTCATGTTTCCAGGACTGGGCTAGGAGAGTAGAAAACAATGACTTATTGATCCTTTATCACTTCATCAGCAATGCACATAAAACCTTCCAAAGAATTTGATCAGATTGCCCAGAAAATGTCAATATACTATAAAAAAATGTGTGTACTTCTAATAGAAAAAAGAACAATAAGAAAAAGACTAGGAACTCCAGAGGTAAAAAAAGAAATAAAAAAACTAATCAAACAGTGGTATGAGGAGTACTACGAAAAGTTCCTCTATCTCCTCCTACATAGTCTTATCAAGCAACAGTTTAATCAAATTGTAAACACTTATCCATCACAATGCATTGCACCAGGAACCAGTGGAATACAGCAGGACCGATCCATATGCTCAAAAAATTACGGATCCCTATATAGTCTCCCGAAACACACCATGATAATGAGGAAGAATGGCAGAGCGAACAGGGTAAGGAGGAGGGGAATATCGCTGAAGCACTAAACCTAATTCTTCAAGCTAGAAAGGGATAAGGTCATTCTCCGTGTTGCCACAAAGAAAAAAGAGCTAGACAAAGAAGTTCGCTTTAAGTGCGAACTGAGAACGAGCGACTAAAAATTGCATCGGACTTGCAAAGTTATATTGAGCATCCAAATCCTAGTGCACGAAGAGAAGCCTATTTGACATGCAATTAGGGTGTCAAGAAAGTTACAGTCTTTGAGAGGAAAAAGAAAAACCCCAATGCGAGAAGAAACTGACCTAGGTCGCGCGAAATCTCACCCCCAATCGCCACTAACGACCAAAAAAAATCTCTGCCGCTGCTTAGATTTCACTTGCAAGTTCCTACCCAGAAAGCCTAACTCTATCGCCTGCGAAGATGAAGTAGCTAGAAGATGATCTAACGCGAGCAGAATGCCCCTCCTTTTCTAGGGCTGGAAGGACGGAGAGGAAAGGGGGTAAACTAATTCCTTCGTGCGTTCGGCTTACATAAGGAAAAATTGAATGAAGGAAGAAAGAACTGACCTAGCAGCCACCCGTAGGGCTACCGCCGCCTCCGTCGCTGACTCTGCCGCCCGCTTCGTCTCCTTCGTTTTCTTCTTCTATCCTCTGTGCGTGCTAGTTCCGAAGGCCGTCTCTAGGGCTTTGGCAAATCGCGGAGGGTAGAAGAGAAGACCGAAGTCGGTAATTGGGATTTTTCCGATATCTTTTACTTACTGTTCGCGATTTCGAAATAGCCCCTCAACTTTTGTTTTTCACTTATGTACCCCTCATGACAATTCCTTTATTTTGTGGGGAAAATGCAAGTTGTGCCAATTGGCTTCGGGGCTCGGGCACAAAATGCGTTTTCGATCATTATTTTTTGGGCTAATACCACTAGGAAATCCGAACTATTAACTTTGTGTCATTTGTGTCCTAAAGTATTCGATATGACATTTGTGTCCTGACGTCTGATAGTTGTGTGTCATTTACGTCCTGACAATTTCGTTGACCGTAATAGATAACGGTTGACCAAACGGTCAACCATAAAATGTTGACTATTGATTACATGGCACATATGTGGCAGCCACGTATGCGCCACGTCAGCTGCCACATCCGATTGTTATTTTCAAATTAAAATTAACAAATAAATTACAAAATACAAAATAAAAAATTTAACAATTAAAATTATTTTCAGTCACATATCCTCATCTCTTCCATTCGGTACTGCTCTGAAGCTAACATTTTGGATCTGAGCGATGAAAGGCCAGCTTGCTTCCGACAGCGGCGATTCCCGATTCCCGACGGAGAAGATTGCGGAGAAGGGGACCGGCTCGGGGGTTCCTCTGTCAATCGAAGAAGCAGCTGGTGGGTGGGTCTCTGTCAATCGAAGAAGCAGCTGCGTTGGTGGGCCTTTCCCGTTCTTCTTCCCCTTTGATGAATTGAACCCCCCAACCCAATCGGCGCTACCGCTGGACAGGAGACCGGAGATTGGGTGAACGTCGAGGGAAAAGACGGGTTCTCACCCCCGTTCTATGCTGATTCAGCCCCCCACTGGTGACGATCCATAGGTACTGATCCCGTTCCGTTTTCTTCTCAACAACTGCACCAAGAAATCAAGGATTGATGAGTTAGAAGCTTAAAGGCCGAATCCTTCTCTCTCATAGATAACCAGCTCACCGCAATTTTGACCATTCATCATCCCTCCTCTACACCTTAGGTAGAATCGCCCAGCGATGGAACAAGAATCGCCTCGATTGGAGTGACTGGAAGAGGAGGACGAGATCAGGTGGGATGTGGCAAACGATTTGGGATGCGAGGCGAGGATAAGATCAGCGGAGGCGTCGATTTGGGATGCGTGGAGAGGATCAGATTTATGGAGGCGTCAATTTGGCCTTCGGTCAATAAGTATTTGGCGACGAGCGGGAGCGGAGGTGAGGAGGCAGCGAAGAGGAGAGCTGATCAGAGTTCCCGGTGGCTCGGGAAGCAGAGGATAGGACTTATCGCAGAGGAGGAGGATTTTGGTGGTGGCGCAGGCTTTCAATTTCTCAATTATGTTCCTTTTAATTATTTTTTAAGTAATAGGAATAAATAAACAAATAATAATAAAAGTTCCACGTCAGATGCCATATAAGCGCTGACTAGACTTTTTGTTAAAAACTAATGGTCAACGCTAGTCAACTCTAACGGAAAAATAGTTCAGGACACAAATGTCATATCGAATACTTTAGGACACAAATGACACAAAGTTAATAGTTCGGGTTTCCCAGTGGTATTAGCCATTTTTTTTTAAAGGAAACCTGTGTGGATTTTATATTGATTAAAAAAATTAACCTGATACATCATTGCAATCAGCAATAATAAAATCCACCAAATTCAAGGGTGGTCTTTCCTCATTAACAGACATGTTCCATGGGCCATATAAGTGAGCCATTTCTGGCTTTTTGCATAAGTCATTTACAGTTATTTGCTCAAATATAGACATTTGAGAAATGTAGACATTTGGACCAAATGTAAAATCAAAGTGTGAAAAAAACTACCCTACTGCGAGGAGAGCAAAATGAAAATTGAAAATTTACCGTGGATGGCTAATAGGATTTTGCAGACTTTTCTCTTGCAACCTTGGCAGTGGACGGGAACTCTCAGCAGCCATGTCTGTGGGGGAAAAACAACAACAATGGCGATGGTTTTGTATCAATCAATAAAATAGCGATGAAAGAAAAGAAGGGATGAGGTAGTGATTGAGTTACTTTGCAATGGAGTCCAGTTGAAGCTTCTTCGGGTACAGAGGATGTGTTCCTTGCCATAACAAGAAGCACAAAAGAACCCTCCTTTCTCTTTCTCTCTCTAGCAAATAGCTCTGTTTCTGAGGAAAAAAATAGAAAGTGGGTGAATTTTTGTCCGATAGGTAGGGGAGCTGGCATCAGAAAATTTGGAGGCAAAGGAGGCGGTGACGATTGATGGCGGTTTGAGAGTCCATCGATCATCATCGCGGTTGGTGGTTTAGTTTACCCCTAAACAGAAAGTCCCTGCTTTCTTTCATTTTCGCAAATCCCCCATGGATGAGACAGAACTTTCTGGTTCCCGGTGGCCTCTCGTGGGACTGCTTGGATCGTGTGGTAAGGAGAATTCTGAGAGTACAGTGACGTCTGAAGCGACGGAGGAGGGAATTTCGCCGCCATTCTAATCCCACGCCACCAATTCGCCGTAGCCATCGTCGTCTGCAATTCGTTTCCGATGGTTTTGTGCTGGTTTGAGGTTTAAGAATTTTTGGCAGTTGCTGTGGGACGGTTGTGGACGGAGATCCGGAGATGCCCGGGTCAGCCGAGGCGTAGACGACGGCGGTCTTGGGAGGACGAATTTGGCCAACGACAGTTGCGGGTACGGGGAGCCACCGAGCAGAGCAGGGAACGAGGAAGCCAAATCGATATCGTCGATAAAAGGAGGGAGAACGAGAGGCCATTGTGCGAGTCTGTTGATCTGCGCGTGAAGTTTGCAAGCGGTAGTGCTGGCGGACGGCGACTGACAGCCGGAGCACCTACGGTTACTATTGCAGGGTAGTTACAATGTTGCGGTTACAATTTCTGAGGGGAGTCCGAACATTAACCGCCAGATAAGTTTTACTAACTTCTCCATTTTTCTCCCTTATTCTATTATTATTTATTTTCAATTATAATTTCAAACTCTTTTAGAAAACAAGGTTTGGTGCTCTCATCCGGCGATTTTCCTCAATCTCGCTGCTTTCGCCTTCGTGCGACTGTTCGGTACCATCTCCGACAAGACTCCTCTGCAGGGATTTGCTCCATCGTTCTCCGGCGACATCAAAGCAGGCGGGGTAGTTCATTGAGCTTGTGGAGCATCTCTGGTAGAGGTCCGTTGGTACTTGAAATTTGTTGTGTTCCTTTAGGGATCGTTTGTGTGTTCATCTTGCAGGTAGCTTGCACATCAACTCTACTATTGGCCTATTGAAGTTTGACTTATAGGAGATAAGAAGGTTCTGCTCGGCGGATCGGTGCTTCAAGAAGTCTGCTGAAGGAAAACTTCCTTTGCGTTTATTCGTTTTTTTATGATTCTAGGCATACTAACAGGGCTGCCCATTGAGTGGCAAAAATGACCCTTGCATCGGTAGCTCAACATTAGGTTGACTACCGCTTTTAATTTTCAAGAATTTGTAATACCCTATCTATTTACTATCTATGGCAAAAAAAAAAAAAAATGTAGACATTTGTGAATGTAGGCACTTACAATTTCATTGTTTGTTAAGTAGTGTTTTTAGATGAGTCATTTATAAATGGGTCATTTATATAATATTACTATTTTGCCCTTACATTTAATATTTCATTATCTTGTTTCATATCTTCATAAAACTAACCACGTAACAAAATCATTTTGCAACCAACATAACATATGATTACAAGTCATGTATAATACTTTCTAATATTAAATAATATTTTATGTTAAATTTCTTTATAAAAGCTAACGACACCAGGAGTCTCATATTCGGGCTAATTATGACTTATTCTTGAAGGCGGAAACTCCGATGACACGAAGATGTAGAGTCACGAGAAAATAATGTAGACGATAAGATGGATGACCTCCCATCACCGCTTGTAAAATTTGGCGGAAAGAAAAAAAAATCGGAAATAGACAAAAGAATGGTAGGGGAAATAAGTAATAGAAATGCATGGGTAAAAGTGAGTTTACGGAAAAGTGACAAGGACATAATTGGAAAGTGTTGCTAAAATAATGAGTCATTTGAGACTTTCGTATGAGCCAAATGACTCATTCAGTTTTTTGTCAGCAAACGAGTCATTTGGTACCAAATGACTCATTCAAATGACATAAGCCCACTTAATCACGCATTCCCCTTCGTCTACAAACAACTTCTTTATTTTCCTTCCTCTGCAGAATCATGTCGCAAAGGATTGCGGTGTCTGTTATGTCTGTTTCCCTTCGCATTAGTTTAGATATTAAAGTTTCAGTCACTTTCAGCGATCAAGAGGCGGAAACCTCTCCCCATAGCTTCTTCTATCCCCAACAACAATGCTCTCGCTTCAGCTTCCTCTGGTCTGTAAATAACCAATTCCCTATTCGTTATCCCAAATCTAAAACAACCGTTCCAATCCCTAATAACCGCTCCAAGACCAATTCCTCTGTTGCGCAGCACGCCTGCATCGGTGTTTAGCTTGCAGAAACCAGGCGGGGGACGAGGCCATCTTATAGTAGCACCAGATCGGACTTGCTTGCTGCTAGCACTTCTTTTATGGATCGCCAGGTAATCTTGAATCCAACAGATTGCTCTTGAGATGATTTCATTTTCATCCAACTTCTTGTTATTGAACACGTGATTATTCCTCTCTTTCCACAGGAACCATAAGATTGCACAAAAAAGTTGGATTTTTTCTTCCAAAAAGTTATAAAAAATCTCGCATAGCCATTCCGAGCATTGCAAACCTTCTCTAGATTCAAAACAATCCATCTCCAAGCTATGTCTCCAGACCCGGCTGACCCAGCAACAATC